CAGGCAAAGAAAAAGAAGCATCTCACCTTTAGCATTGAGACCTTTACTGTTTGAGCACTTTCTGTACAGAAACTTGGGAAGATGATCATAAGGGTAAAACGGATGATGGTAACAGAAGAGACTGAATAAAATGAATTTTTGTGGATGGACATCACGCACTGGCTCTACCCTCATTGTCTTAAACTATATTCTATCAAGGATACCCACTAATAATTGATACTCTTTCCCACAGTTCTACGTCATATAAATATAACTTATTCCTCAAGTCATTCACCATAAAAAAAAATTCATGACTTTTCAATCCAGTGATCACTGTTCATAAATAGTCAATACATCATCATCATCAAAAGGTAGAAGCCTTTTGGATAAAAAAGGACAGAAAGGCAGCAATGCAAGTATCAACCACATCACTGTTTTCCATGTAACATATATACTTGGTTTTTTATTACTAAGTGTAATTGAAGAGTTGCTGAAACTTCTCTTTTAAAACAAGGATAACTTATCAAACAAATCTTGTGACACGAGCATTGACATTTATCCTTTAAGACAGAAATCAAACTTCAGCAAATGAGAAAGGTTAAAGGGAAAAGCATTATAATTTAAAATGTGAAACTAGACAAGAAGAGCAATCTATACTCAGGAGCCATCAGAAGGTTTCCTAATGGATGTCAATAAATGCACAATCAAAATACTAATTACAAGAAATTTACCATATTATCATTAAACTTCAAATTATTTTTAATTCAAAGTTCAAAATTTTCAGCATTTGTTTATTGTTATAGAGCCTGGCCCAACCATATAAGAAGCTGAATTCAAAAACAAAATTCCTCCTGCTGATTAGAGTGTATTTATCTGTCTGAAATAAAAAGCCCAATGATATCACATCACAGTAACTATACTCTCTCCAAACTCATATTTTTATGACAGAATACACAACAAAATCCAGTGAGATGTAAAACAGCATAAACAAATCTATCTTTTTTATAGGCAGAAAAGTTGTTCTATTAAATCTGCCTAAACAAGAAACAAGTGTAAAGTAGCTGAGCACCCCAAAGTTCAAAACCAAAAAGACAGAAGTTTTTTTGGGAATTATACTCTTTCTTCTTCAGTGATGAACTGTTGAACACTGCTAACTTCTGGGCTGCAACCAAAGTGTGGCCAGCAGGTTGAGGGAGGGGATTCTGCCCCTCTGCCCTGCTGTGCTGAGACCCCAGCTGGAGTGCTGTGCTCAGCTCTGGGGACACCAGCATGACAAGAACATGGGCCCGTTGGGGCTGGTCCAGAGGAGGGACACAAAGATAATTACAGGGCTGGAGGACCTTTCCTACCAAGGCAGGCTGGAGAAGAAAAGGCTCTGGGGAGACCTTAAAGCACCTTCCAGTACCTGAAGAGAGGTGGAGAGAGACATTTCACAAGGACAAGGGGAAATGGCTTCAAAATGAAAGAGAGTAGTTTTAGATTAGATATTAGAAATTCTTTGCTGTAAGGCTGGTGAGGAACAAGCTCCTCAGAGAAGTTGTGGATGCCCTGTCCCTGGAAGTGTTCAAGGCCAAGGTTGCATTGGGCTCTGAGCATCCTGGTCTATGGAAGGCACATGGCAGGAGGGCTGGAACCAGATGATCTTGAAGGCCCCTTCCCACACAAACCATTCTGTGATTCTATGAATCCTGAAGAGAGGTAAAAAAGAACAGCAGCTTCTTGCTGTTTCAGCTTCTTGCTGAAACACAATAACATGTTCAGTATTATTTATTCAGGTAATGAATACTGGAGATGTCAAAAAAAACCAGCAGTGCAGGCATTGAAAGCCTATTGATTTTTTTATCATAGATGAAATATCTCAGAACACCAACAGAACAGAATGAGTGTAGTTGGAAACCTTTCAATTTTATGTTTTTTCATGTAGGAACATGCTTATTGGCGTTCCTTTTATAGATTTTGGCTGCAAAAACATCTATGAATTTTAGTTCTCCCATCTAACAGAGGAAAAATGTTTTGGGTGTTTCTGGGTTGTTTTTCTTTCTTTAAACATGTTATAAATATAAAAGTCTGCTTGTGGTTTTTTTTTTTCTTTTTCAAATCATTTCTAGGCTGATACATGAATTGGTAGAAAGACTGTCAAAACAACTTCTTTAGCAGAGTTGTGAAAGCCTGAATGAACTGTATACTGTATCAGAAAATAATGGAGTAGGAGCTTTATTCTACAGAAATATCTTGTCATAAGAAGCAACAGAATTATTTGAAAGACATGGGACGAATGTACCATCAGCCCCAAAAAAACCCCACAATGAACTTGTTCCCTAAAAAACCCCAAACAAACAAAAACTCAGAAATTGTATGGAGTGCAGCAAAATTTTTAAAAAATATTTGGGACCAAAGATATTTGAAAAATACAATTTTCAGACACTAACTTTCAGCATTTAACAGCAGCAATAGTAAACAGGAGACTACCACAATGGCAAATAACTAAAGCCAGCAAAAGACGTTTTTAGCTTGGCTGAATGTAATCAACAAAATCCAAATTTTCTTTATGTGCTGTTCTTTGCAACAAACAAAATACTTAATGAACCAACAGAAATGTGACAAAGATAATAGTTTATAAGACTCTTCTTTGTGTTCAGAAATAATTTTTCTCCATTATAAAGGAGGTGAAATGCCAACACTGGAAAAACTATGCACAACTCAGTTCTTATCTCACCATTACAGGATCAGTGATGTCAACCAAACACTGCTGAACCTTCTTCTTGATGATCCATATTTCTTGCAGAAGTATATAGAAGGGCAGTATGTCTGCTAGCTCCTGTCTGCTCCTTTCATATAAAAGCCAGCAGCAATAATCCCCAGTACCCTTTAAGAACAAGCAGGGAATTTATCATATCTGGTTGTAATGCCCTTTGGGACTCTTCAGGAAGAAAGGCACTGTAAATGTAAGCTCATTATCATCATTAACTCCTTTTATACACCAGCTGAGCTCAGAAGGAACAAATGGGAGAAAAATGTAAGGGAAAAAAGGTTAAATACATTTGCCATTCTTTTCCTGATAGGTTTTAACACTTCCTAGTTAGTTTTTAACATTCATAGATACCTTCATTAGATTAAACTTATTATTTCTTAGGAATTCTTAAAATTACTTTGGTAATTTTTTTTCCAGATTATATTTACATTACTAAGGAAAAAGAAGAAAATGGCTTGACTTGTATTTAGGGATAACACAGCAGTGCCTAACTTATTACACACTCCTGTAAGCTTAGAAACACCTTACGGTTTCCACAGTTACACCTTGCCTACATGTGTGAGAATGGTCTGAGAAAAGGAAAAACTCTCTGTTTGTCTTGTTTGTGTTTTCTAGGTGACTGTCACGGGCATTTTTCAAAGGAAAAATAGCACAACATCTTCTCAAACCGCTTTATGGGAAAAATATTAAACTTTTAAACTAGTTGGCCATACTTTACACAAAAGCTCTACAAAATGGCAACTTGCAGGGGCTACGGAGAATCCTTAAGGGTACTTATAGAGTTACTGCATCCAAATTCGGCAAGCTGTCACCTGAATGAAACAAAAATCAGAGAAACAAGAAGAACTATGAAGTTTATCTGACTGTACAAATGCAAGAAATAAAACCATACACAAATGTCCATAGCAGGAAAGAAATTTGCGGAGACCCTTCTGATGCTATTCCACTGGGGGATGATGTGTGAACACCATCTCCTTCGCTCAGCTGCTTCGTTTTGCGCTCTCCCGGGGGAACACGCGCCCCTTTCTCCCCGTCCGTGGCCTCTGCCCCTGCAGCAAGGTGCCCTGGCTGGTCCTGTGCCGTCCCGGTGCCGACAGCTTCCCCCGCCGCCTCCAGCCACGCTCCGCCCGCGGTTGGCGCCGGGGCGAGACCCCCGGTACCAGAGCGGGGCGCTTTGCTCGCCTGGCGCTTCGCTCGGCCCCGCTGCCACCTGCGGCCCAAGGAGGGCAGCCACACGCTGATACCGGGGCGCGCCGGTGAGCTGCGGAGAGCCGGCCGTGGGGATGTATCCCCGCCAGGAGAGCTCGGGGGCCGGCGGAGAGCGCCGTACCCGGCCCGGCCCGGCCCGGCCCCTCACCCGCCCCTCGGCCCGCGCTTCTCCGGCGCGCCCCGAGAGCCGCGGCGGAGCCGGTCCGAGCCCGGAGAGCCGCACCGGGCTGAGCGGGGCCGGAGCCGCAGGGAGCCGGCAGCAGGAGCACAGCCCGCCGGACACCGGCCCCTGCCTGCGCGGGGGGCCGTGGCTGCCGCCCCGCTTCACCTGGTGCCCGCACGACTCGGGAGGCAAGAGCATCCCCGAGGGGTCCGTCCCGGTTCTTGCCCGCCCGGCGCCGGCAGCATCTTTGGCACCTTGGCCGTGCTAGCCGTCCCCTGCCCGCGTGCGAGTGCTTGTGGGTGCAACGATCGACCCCGGCAAGAGTTTTGCAAAGCTCTGAAACACCTTAAGCTGCGCGCAACAACCTGTGTTCTCCGAGGTGCTGGAGACGAGGAGTTAGTGTTCGCCACCGCCCGGCGAGGGGAGGTGTCTTCCTAGAGGGACCTTTCCTGACCCGTGCAGCCACTGGGTGCCCGCGGCAGCGAGAGGACGCAAATGGGCAGCACGAGACCGGTGCGGCTGCTGGCGGGGAGGCAGCGGTCCCGGGAAAGGGCGGAGCGCCGTGGGGGGGTTCTCCCGGCGCTGCACTTGCTACATTAACTCGGAGCGTCGGAGACGGCGACACAACTTTCCGGGTCTGCCCCGGGCGTCGGCGACAAGAGGCTCCTCGCCGCTCCGCTCGTCGCGCCCCCAGCGCCGGCCGCTGCCCGCGGCGGACCCCGGCGGCAGCGGGAGCCGCGCTCCGGCGGCAGCGGCGTCGTGGCCGCTCCTGACCCGGCCCCGGCCGGGAAGGCTATCCCCGGGAGCCGGGTGGGCATGTCTCCCGTTCCCAGCCCCGCCGAGCGAGGCGGCCGCCGGTTCTGAAGGAGAGCGGGTGAGCCCCGCCGCCTCCCGGCCATGCGGCCCCTCCGCGCTCCGCTCGCCCTGCTCTGCCAGGTGCTGGGTGCGTGGGCTGCCTGCGCCCTGGCCCCGGACCCCGTCTCAGCCTCTGGGCCGCCGGCGCCCCCGCAGCGCTCCCGCTCGCCGTCGGCCCCGCCGCCGCTCGCCCCGGACCACGGCTCGGCCGGCGGCGAGGGCAGCGCCGGGGGCCGCGGCAACGCCACGGGGCGCCGCGCCCGGCTCCGCAACCCCTTCTACCCGCTGACCGAGGAGTCGTACGGCGCCTACGCCGTCATGTGCCTCTCCGTGGTGATCTTCGGCATCGGCATCATGGGCAACATGGCAGTGATGTGCATCGTCTGCCACAACTACTACATGCGGAGCATCTCCAACTCCCTGCTGGCCAACCTGGCCTTCTGGGACTTCCTCATCGTCTTCTTCTGCCTGCCGCTGGTTATCTTCCAGGAGCTCACGAAGAAGTGGCTTCTAGAAGACTTCTCGTGCAAAATCGTCCCGTACATTGAGGTAATGTACGTGGGTGGGGATACGCGGACCCCGACCTCCTCTCCCCGCCGCTTCCCCGCCGCAAGCCTGAGCCGTGTGCGGAGCCGGCGCTGCTCGCTGTCATTGCTGCCGGCCCGGGGGCGTCCCGGTGCTATTTGGTTCGGGTTTCCTGGGTGCTCTTGCGACGGAGCCCGGCCCCGCCCGGCCCCGCAGGGAGCGGAGTCGGCAGTGATCGCACCGGGTCCAGCGGCACCGGGATTTCTGTGGCTCCTGCTGAGTGCGTCCGGCGCTTCCTGCCACTCGCACGACTTCTGCCAAACTTTCCTTGTTTTGTGGCCCTGAAAAACAAGTGATCCTCTCAGAATTAGTTTTCAAGGTTTTTGCTTTGTTTATTTTAGTGAAGTGAAGATGGGTCACGAAAGCGGCTTGAGGGGATCGCTTGTAAGGAGGTGAATGTAAAAATGGGATTATCCCATTAATGGAATGTCTGGGCTCTTAACTTGTATTTAAGCGTTCAAATCTCACGTTTATTTAGCTGCTGGTTTGTTGATTTTTGTTGTTTTGTTTTTTTGGTTTTTTTTTTGTGGTTTGTTGTTGTTGTTATTGTTGTTGTTTTTTGGTTTTTTTGGGGTTTTTTTGAAAGACACCAGCTCCGTTTAAACTGCAGCTTCTTGGCAGTTGTTCAGCGGCTCTGTCAAAGAAGCTCTCAGACAGCTGGCCACAGTCCTGCCGGCAGTGCTCAGGTTGTCCGCTTTATTTATTTACTGGAACTGAACACTGAGACTTGCTGCTGCGGTGGTAGCCTGGAGTTCTGGCTGGCTCTCCTGTATTCCCAAAACCTTATGTCCAACATTATTCTGTAACTGAGAGCTGAGGAAACAACTGGTGGTTCTCTTGTCCTAAGAACGAGCTATTAGAAAAAGCCCCCAAACAAACAAAAAAGCAACCTCCTATCCCCCTCCCAAAAAAATCTTGAAATACCCAACTTTTTATTAATACAGAGTGTCAGTTTCAGCAGCACATTAGTACACAGCAACACAGAATTAACTGTCAAATGATACTATGATATTTTACAGTGTTAAGAAAGATGTGTGACCTGTGTAGCCATAAACTTGCCACTGCTTCTTTCATCTGTTCAGTTTATTACTGGTGATATTGGACAAAGGGTGGAGCTGTGATATGCTTAGTTGAATTATAGGCCAGTACTATACTACCTGCATTTAAAAAACTCAGAGTACACTTAAGTGATTTGCATTTAAGAAGACATGATGCAGTAAATACGTATTTATTGAGAAACTGATAGTACTTGAATCCTTTAAAATTCCTGAAATGGATTCTGGGGCTGCTGTGTTAACCAGTAAAATAAGTAGCAGTGTTTTAAAAGGAACCATTTCATTTAAAATAGGGTAGTTTGTGTTTCAAGGACTTTCATGTGACATTTCATGCTTTCTAACCCTTTTTTGGTGCATCTACATGCAAAGTTGAAACAGATGAGTAGTTTAGATGATTTGTGTGGCCACACTGTTCCTCAAAATTAGTTACTTATGCTTTGCATAAGCAAAATAATACTGCACTTTGGGCACTAAAAAGCTTTTCAAACTGAAAGTAGTTTATCTGAAATGTAGTTGTTGAAATTCAAAACTGTAATCCCAAAAAATATTCAACTGCTGCTTTACACCATTATAATTTATTGTTACCTTATTTTTTCACTTTAAAGTTCTGTGGATGTCTAGAGTTGGTCTTATTCAAGAACTGGCACCAGTCCAGTCAGGATGAACTGGTGACTGTATTAGGCTTAATTATCACTCGTGTCTAAAAGTAAAGCATTTTCCTTGTCCTTGAGGAAGTATAATTAACTTAGTTCTAAAGTTAAGCTCTTAAGAATGTAAGGTCTTAGTTACAAATATAAAGAGGTCTAGCCTTAGGGTTCTGTGTTGCTCCCAGAATTGTGTATTTTTTGTTCAGTGTCATTAAATATAATACTCATGTATATAAAGTATCTCATCACCTTGAGAGGAGTAAGTAAAAGGCTGGATTTCCCTCTCTGTAAACTGTGGCTATAAGGGGCAGATACTGAGCACTAGTGGATCATGACTCTCCAGTTCACCTGGAGCCTGGAACGAAGGACACTGTCCTGTAAATCAGGATTTGACCCTGCTGAGGCAGAGAAGGCACCTAGAGCAAAGGTTCACCGCTTTCCAAGTGTTGATCTAACCTCACAGGCATTACACAGTGACACTGACACCACCAGGAGCAATGCAGATGTGTAGCATGTCATGAGATCCATCCCATGCGCAGCTGCTGCTCCTTGCTCTGTCAAGGATTGTTTACAGCACCACATTCATCTGACAGCTGAACAACACTCTGTTTTCCTTTGTAACTCACCTGGGCTGGCCCATCTTCTTCTCACACAGAGGGAAAGAGTGAGCTCTTCTTAGCTCCTTGAGAGGAAAGCTTTGACAGCTATCTTCAGGAGAAGTTTCCAGACCTTTGTGGAATACAAATAGAATCATCTTCCTGAAGATGGACACATTTTAACCTCTTGTCTGTGTTTTCCATAAGTTTGCACAGTGTTTAGTTCTTGTAAGAGTCTCTTGGTTCCATCTTTTCATCTTTTTTTTTTTTTTTTTTTCGCTGTTTAGAGAGAGAGCTAAATGTCTCACCTGGGTTTGTAGATCCAGAAATATCTCAAGCATCAAAACCCCTTATTGGCTTGAGCCTTCTGTCATACCAGCTTTTACTCTCAGAACTAGAGAACAGGGGATAGCTGATTATCCACAGCAAGTGGTGCAGTGATCACAGCATTTTAACATAATTCAAGCATGCTTTGTGTTGTTGAAGGTTTCAAGTGATCCCAGGGAAATACCTTGAGTTTTCTTAGTTCAGCGTCTTGTGGCCAATTGGTTTTTATTTGTGCTGTTTTATGGATATTGTGTAGAATTCCAACAAAGCATCTGTTGCTAGTGATAACACATATGCACACACAGTCTGGGGAAAATGTTTTATGATATCTCCTGGCACATTTGTATAGGTAAAGACTGAGCTTCCAGCAGTGGAATGTCTTCACAAATTTAATTTAAAGGGCAGTTTTCACATACCTAATAAATACTTGTCCTCTGACAAGTACATTCACTAGTAATTTCAGCTATATGTTGTATTATAGTATGGCCACTTGTAGCTACTGCTTTTGAGTGTACTGAAAAGGAGTTGAGAAGGGAATTTGAACAACTGATGCCTGTAAGGACGAACAGCTCTGCCTGTAAGGATGTGTGGAGATGTGCTTCTCCTTTGCCGTTTTAATACTGTGTCACTTTTCTGCATGATTCAGAAGTCTGGGTTTTGGCATACATGTCTGAAGTGTTTACTTGCACACTGTTCTGTCTTTCATATACTTTTGTCAGTATTACTCAGAATCAGGAGACATGAGGTAAATGACAATAGAAAGACAATGAATTTGGCTAATTCCTGCTGATGTGGAATTCTTTTGGTCTGTACTGTTACTGTGCTTTTAAATATTTTACAACTGTTATTCATGTGAAGTTGCGGGTTTTTTTCTTTATTTTATTTTAACACTGAAAGCCAGCAATGAGGAGATTAAATAAGTTGTTTAAGGCCCAGAGCAACTTGCACAAGATGACAAATGGATTCTGTCAGGTAAGACTAGAAACCTTCTTTCAGGCTTAAGAAGAAACTTTGCTTGAGTTGTGTGTATTTTCCTTTTGGAGGTTACACAAGAAGCTTTGTTTGAGGGGGTTGCATTCTATGCCAACAGATTGAATCAGGCTACTTATAGCCAAGTAAGAGTTTAGAATTGAGGAATGGTCCAGCATGGGGGTTTGCAGAGGCTGATTTACCATCCTGTGCAGTCCAGCACAGAGCAAGAAGTTGCTGAGGCCAGTGTATGGTACACAGCCCTGAATTCACTGCTAGTAAACATGAGGCCCTCTGCCTCTGCCTTTCCCATACACCTCACAAGGAACAGAAGGACAAAGTTTGTGGTGTCCTCATCTGGACCATATCATGCATACAAGACTGGCGTGATTCTGGCACAGGCTGACAGTACAAGTCTCTGAAATCTGGTGCCCAAACTCTGCATGTGCTTTTGGCAATGAATTTGTGGCATCACTCCTGTTTCTCGTGGGCAAGTTCCAGCTCAGGAAAGCTATCACAATTAGTATTCTGGGTGGAAAGCATGAGGATTGATTTGGACTGAAATACGAATTACTCTCTTTCCCCGGAGCTGATCCTCGGGCAATTTGAGGTGAGGCTTTTTCCCATTTCTCTTTACTTGACAGAGGTAAGCAAGGAGCACAGAGAAAGCAGCTGTTTCTCTGCCTGTTCCAAAGCTGTGAGAAGAGATCCCTATTTTAAGTTTCACTTTAGGGAAGCAAATACATTTTTAATGGGAGTTTATAAAAGCTGTGTATTATCTGTCTTTTCTGTGTCTTTTGATGTGCAGCATTTTCTTTATGTCTCTTCTTTGACTCTAGTCAGAGCTGTGCTCCTGAACCTCCAGTGAGTCCTCTGGGTCACAGACAAAGACACTCAGAGATGTTTGCAGTTTCAAGGCTTCATCGTGAGAGTTTTCTAGGGCAATGGCTTGATGTATCTTTAGCTGAGCAGAATATCTTCAGTGCTTATCACACAACAATTATTTAAAACTGAAGTGTTAATATATCTCTGCCCTTTAGGTATTAATGGCACAATGATGATAGCTGCCATGTTGGTTGTTCTGTTAGTGTTTCTTTCCTCTGCAGATCCTGTCCTTAGGATCTTTTAAGTTTTTGCTTTTGGCTAAACTTTGCCTGTGGCATTTCAGCGTGGAAATGAATTTGTGTCAGAGTAGGTTTAAAATTGGGTCAGTAAGTTACATATGTGTGGAGAGAAAAAGGCAGCATCTGTGATCCCAGCTCTATTCACCCTGCTCTGAACACTAGCATGTAATTTCTCCATATGACAGGACTTTTCCTGCAAAAAGAGGAAGAGGTAGATTTCTATCTGTAGTTCCATATTGCTGCTAT